ATCATACAGCTGGTAGGAACAGAATCCCAAAGGTATTACACTAGTATTCTGTTTACTGCTAGAGATAAATTTGGGTTTATAAACCAGTGATTCCTCATTTATACGTATTCATATTTATTATTTGTATTATGATAGCATGAAAGACGTGTTAGAAATTGCATGAAAAAAAATATGTGGCCCCTACCTCAAAGACATTACAATCTGCAAAGATACAAAAACAGGAAAAGGTTGGGCAAAAGGCGTATAGTACACAAGGTATATGATCAGGCTGGTAACAGGCACATGTCTTGTTAGGACCAGGTTGCCAGCTATGTTGTAATTTATTATTTCTAATTGTTAAAGCATTTCTTTGTAAAATTACAGAAGTGGAGTTTTTTGAGTGGTCTGGAGGGAAAGTTACACCAGAGCTTGCCAGTGAGGCTAGCCAAATTGAACTTTTTGGTCTTTACTGGCAAATGATTACATGCACTGCTCTTATCTATGCAGTAATGTAACTAGATAGTCCAGGGATAACAGCTCATCCTAAACGCACATCTAAGTTTTGTGAGACTCTCAACTAGTTATGTTTCACATTGCTTGAATTAAAAACTGAAAAAATCCAGATATTAACAAATCCTGCCTGAGTTATACAAACTATGAAAAATCCTTCAGGGCTTCTAGCTCTTTATAAGATGCACATCAGAAAGTATACATGGCAAACATTTTTACTTCAGTTCAAACAAGAGCTTAATAAAACTTGAGATCAATTAATAGCAAATCCTGTTTCTTGCTTCTATCCTTCCCAGCAACCACTGCCGACAATAGCAAATGGAGGGTTTTGGACAATATGAATATAGCCCAAATAGGACCATTCTAAACATTAAGGAATAGAATGCATCTTAATTATGTGGGTATATAATAAGACTAACAGAGGCGCCTTATTTTTTAGATTAGTCTCAAAATACTAACAAGAACAATGCATAATTAAATATCCAAGCATAAATAAAAATGAGAACAGTAAGAACAGTAAATGACATGTTTTGCCTGTTCACCACCTGCGGGAGAGGCAGGTGGACTTTCACTATCCAAGCTGGGAGAAATAAAAGAAAATAAAACAAAATACACCATCCAAATCTGCATAAGAGATATATAGATTTTATGAACCCTTTAATAATCTAGAGTGTTACCAATAAAAGTGAAGAGTCATGTTTGATTATGGCATGTTATTAAGCCAGGAGTAACCTTCTAATCACCACCTTATATTTCCCGAAATTACCTGGATCATCCTGAAAGACGGATGGATCAGATAATATCTTTTACTGGACCAAGTTCTGTTAAGAGACAAGCTTTTGAGCTTACACTGAGCTCTTCTTCAGCTCTTACTGAAACAGAGCTTTGTGTATACTAGAAAGTTTCTCTTTCACCAAGGGAAGTAAAAGATATTACTTGACCCACCTTGTGTCCCTCATACCCTGGGACCAACAGCTTCAACAATCCTGCATGGATCATCCTGGCCATACCTAGTCACACATACCTGTCGGGGATGCGAAGGAGAGATAGAGGGGAGGCTTCTCCTGCTGGCATAGCCCCTCACACCAGCGGCAGGTCTAATGCATTCTCCCTCCCGACCTCCCCCAACATACATACAGCTCAAACATTTTGCGAGATGGGAAAACTGTTCCCCCATGTTCCTGGAGCCCCCACCACGGCCAGCAGCTCAGCGACCCAGAGAGTGGGGCGGCGGGAGGAGATGTCACCTGAGCCCGGGGCTGCTGGGCCTGAGGAGCGCGCTGCCCGCAGTCACAGCTTCCCCCACCCCACGCCAGAGCCCGGGGAGCCGGGCTGAAGCCCACCACAGCGCGGGGGGCAGCACTGACCAAGGCAGACTGGGGAAGGAGATACGCGCGATGACCAGCTTGTCTGGGGACGGGCCCCTCAGCGCCGGGCGAGGGAACGCGCGCGCGCGCACACGCACTCACCCAGCAGCGCTCCCCCAGCAGCGCTCCAGCTCCTCAACAGCTGCGCTAGCGACTCCCGCCCCTCAGCGCGGCAGCGGAGACTCCGCCCCCTGACAGCCCCGCCCCGCTACCATTGCCAGCCACTCGGCGCCGTCCCCGTGCAGAAAGCCACGTGACAGAGCTCAAGCTAGTCCCCCAATCACGTGACAAGGGAGTGACTAACGCTGTACCGGAGCCTCAAGGGAAAGGGGCCCCATGACCCGGAGTCCCCCAACCCTGCGAGAAAGGGGAAGGGTGGAACATTTTCAGTCAAGCGTTTTTGCTACAGCAAGGCCTTGGCGACATCGCAGTCACAGGACTGTAGAAAATTTAAAAAACACCGTGTTTTTTAAAAAAGAGGAGAGTCTTGGGGCCCCGGGAGAACCACCTTTTTTGCAGAGGACCCTTGAGCTACAGCTCACTTCATCAGATGTTTACCGTGGAAACTGCAGCAGAGGAAGTTTGATTCTCTCCCTCCGCCCCAATACCATTTCTGGTCAAGTGGCTGTGGTTTAGTTTTTTTGAAGCAGAATGAAACATCACAGGTTAATTTAAGGATCTCGTTTACAAAAATCAAAGCTCTTCAAGCAATGGGGGAACAAGGTCATTTCGTTCAAATTTTTCAAGGAAGTGGGAGTGGAGCTCTGTGGCAAGGAGGGTGAACCCAGCACACGACATAGGAGGAGGAGGTGGTAACTAAGGCAGATTGCTGCCCTGGTTTATTTTTCTAAAAGTGATTACAGTTTAGAAACCTACTGTAACCTCAGCATATGAGGGTGGGTGTCATATAGTCCTCCCATTAGAGAAGGGTGTCTTAGGAAGAGGCTATATTCAGGCACTTCCATTCTTCCCAGTTTTCACTTTAGCACCTTTCCACAGAAGTGTATACAAATTTCTTTTAAATTAAGTACTGTGTTTCGACCTTCATATGCATATGGATACGGTTCCTTTACCAGACACCCCAAAAAGGAAGCAGTACAACTATATTAATAAAAAGAAAAGGAGTACTTGTGGCACCTTGGAGACTACCATTTATTTGAGCATAAGCTTTCAAGGTGCCACAAGTACTCCTTTTCCTTTTTGCAAATACAGACTAACACAGCTGCTACTCCGAAAACTATATTAATGTATTTTAGCACCACAGTTGAGGGTGGGGGAAAGACTGCGGGCACTTGCCCTACACACCTCTAACTGAAGTGATCTTAGTGCAGTGAATTGCACCAGTAAACATATTAAGAGCTACTAAAATGTTTATAAAATACTCCTTTTGGGATATAACTTAAAAATCAGAAAGGATCAGGTATCAAAGTCTTAAACCACTAATGTCATATACCTGCAAAGTGAAAAAGGGCCCTATAATCACCAGAGGTAATATTCCCACATCCAATTAGGCCAGAAAGTCAGTCTTCAGCCTCATATGGCAGGATACATTTGAGTTTCAAATCATAAGACTGGAAGGGACATTAAGAGGTCATCTTGTCCAGTCCCCTGCATTCATGACAGGACTAAGTATTAAGTGTCAACATAAGTTTAGGAAGTAAGATGGTCAGAACACTCCAGAGTTATCAGGAGCCCTTGCACAAGTGCTGCAACAGGAAATAAGGCAGCAACTGGTTCCTCAGACTGGTCTAGGGTGTATGGTTTACATGGCAAAAATACCCCATTGTGCTAGGCACTACTTAAATATACAAAGAACCAGCAAATTAATGACAATTTCTATAGACAATTGGGATGAGGATTTCACCCTGTGCCTCTGCCTTTCAGTCTAAAAACAGGTTCAACCTACAGACTTCTGCCAGCATAGGTATGTTGATCAGGTGTGTGAAAAGTGATCCCTGACAGTTATGCTGGCAGAAGCCTCTAATGGGATTTTCTGGTATAACTGCATCTACATCCTCACTGACACCGAAGCACTTTTACTTGTATAGGCTTTCACTATACCAGTGGAAAGCACAACCAACACAGCTGCATCCAAACTAGGAGTGCTTTTCTAGTATAGCATCCAGCATTCCAATGTTGGTAAAATGCTTCTGGTATAGCCAGAGCCTCAGTCAGACCTTTAAGAGCATTCATGGCTCCAAACAGCACCACCAATGGTGAGAAGGCAGGCATTACCAACTTCCCATCGACCTCCTGAGTTCAAGAACCATTTCAGCAGGAGCCTGATGTCAAGCAGAAGCCATGTTTAGCCCTCTTATACAGGCAATCTATTCTTGAACATTTTGGCCTCCCCTCTATATTGTCACTAGCTACTGGTACTTAGTTTTGCAGACTGTAAGCACATACTTCTTGCTACTATCTCCACACTATGATTATTCTGGCTAATGGGTACTTCTAAAATGTACTCAGATAAGTTCACTTTCCATTACCCAGTAAGAAGTAGAGGATGCTGGGGATGATAGATTCCTGAAAGGGAGACTTGATAAACCAGTGCCCCTTGCAGCCCTTAAGAAGACTGCTAAGTGAAAAAAAAGACAAAATACAATGCTTCTTTGTTAAAAGAACTATGATTTAAGAATGGAAGATGTGTCCCTGCAGTAAGTCTGCATGCAGAGTCCAGCTGAAGTGAATAAAGTCTACACAAGTAGACGTGTCGTCCACATGCTCTTAAATGTCTGGTTATTGCAAAAAATTCATTTGCCTTCAGTTACTTCATCATCTGCATCTATCCTAAACTCATATCAGTGGTTTTTAAGGAATATCATGTATCTAAAATTCAAGATTTTATAACCAAGCAATATTCTTAAAATTGCTCACTATACTTTTATAAAAAGAAAAGGAGTACTTGTGGCACCTTAGAGACTAACCAATTTATTTGAGCATGAGCTTTCGTGAGCTACAGCTCACTTAAGTGAGCTGTAGCTCACGAAAGCTCATGCTCAAATAAATTGGTTAGTCTCTAAGGTGCCACAAGTACTCCTTTTCTTTTTGCGAATACAGACTAACACGGCTGTTACTCTGAAACCTATACTTTTATAGCAAGCTATGAAACATGGGACAGGAATAAGACCTAGATGAACAAAAGAATTTTTAAATATATTTATTAAACCAGTAATGCCACATCACAGATAGCAATAATCAGTGAACAGATGCCATTACACGTATGGCAGAAATGAAAATTTCAGACCAGTTCAGGATTACTGCACATTTCAGTCCAGAATAAGGAAAGGCTATTTCTCTCTCCATTCTTTTGGGGTAACTTTGCCAACAGGTGATAAATTCCACTCAATTCCAGTTTGTGTTGCCACCTGTAATAGATTAAAAAGTTACATAAGAACAAGTTTGTCTAATTCCAAGGCCAGAAGACCACTGTAATCATCTAGGCTGATCTCCTGTATATCATAGAACTTACCCAAAATAATTTGGATAGCATATCTTTTAGAAAAACATCCAATCTTGTTTTAAAAAGTGGTCAGTGATGGAGAATCCATCATGACCCTTGGTAAGTTGTTCCAGAGGCCGATTACTCTCCTGTTAAATAATTATGCCTTATTTCCAGTCTGAGTTGGTCTAGCTTCAACTCTCAGCTATTGGATCATGTTATACCTTGCTCTGCTAGACTGAAAAGACCATTAGGTACGTACCATATTCATGGTTCATTTCCTAAGTTTCACAGTTATAGCATTTTTAAAATCTTGAATTTCACAGTTTCAGATATTTAAATTTTAAATAAACATGAGTATGTATTTAAAAATGGTAAAATATAAACATGTAAAGCCCTTAAGATTCAGCATTTCTCAAACTGGGGGTCCTGACTCAAAAGGGTGGTCACAAAGCTATTGTAGGAGGGTCACGATATTGCCTCTATTATTTCTGCACTGCGTTCAGAGCCGAGTGGTCAAAGCAGCGGCCGGGTGCCCAACTCTGAAAGCAACACTGCCACCAGGAGCAGCACTGCTACTTATAATAGCCTTGCTAACCCCTTTTGGGTGGGGACCCCCAGTTTGAGAAGACCTGTGTACTTTTGTATACTTTTACTCTGTAGCATAGGACACTAACTATAAAAAAGTACCCTATTACATGGTGAAAGTACACAAAAGATGTCATGGTCTGGGATGCATTTTTCACAGCCATTAATTTGATAGGACCCTAACCATTATTAATAGTTAGTAGCCCTCAAATCCAATAAAGCTATACAGAGTAAAAGTTACGCATATTAGGTGTCTCCTTTTAGAGTGACAGTTTTATAGTATCTTTAACCTATGCAACTGTTCAAGAACAAGAAGTTAAAATAAAAGAACACAGTTGAGGGGCATCATTCTCTATCAGAATTATTTTTACTCTCAGATTTGAGATCTTATTCAGCCCCTCACACTGATTCAATTGGTATTACATTTATACTATTTTACAACAGTAACTGGTATTACAGAAATATTAATAACTCAATATCCACACCTGTCTTTTACTAAACTCTAAATAAAAGACGACTTATGTCACATACTGTATTAGAAATCTATATTTAAAAACAGATACTGTGAAATTCAGGGGATAACAGCATCAGTCCAATATTTTGCTCTTATAGTACAGCCACACAATATTTTCACCAACATAAAAAGAAAACTTGAGTTGAATAGCTCACTCATCCAGCTGCCCATTTTGGAAATGCATTATTAGACAAAGGAAGTGTGCTTAGTTTATATTTAATCAAGCTGTTTAACAGTTCTGAAGACTTGCAGTAAATTGGTATTCAAAATAAGTGCCTATTGAAGCCCTACATTTAAAGCTGTACTAATGAATCGCTTCCCTTTGGGGTATTAATGCATACAAAATTACTCTTTCAGGAAACCCCAAAGCTTCATATAGGCAAATCCTTATAAAGGTGCATAACAACTTGCAAATTCAGGGCTACAGTTACAGCAGACACTAGTGATAGTACCAATCATATAGTACTTACATATCCCCAAATGGAGACACAAAATAGGGCTCCACCAAGTAGTATAACGTTGCCATATTTATCATGGAAGTCAGATGCATGTTTGTGGTGACTCTGTCTTGCTGCAATCCACTGAGTGCCCCGAGCTAAGAGAAATTGTCAAAATGTAAGATGTACCAATGGACTGATATACACATCTATTCAAGTCTCTGGCAGTCCTCCCTTGCATCCCCTAGAAAAAAAATGTACTTCAGAACACTAAGAATAAGGATGATCTTCATTAAAACAGAGAGCTAGACACAAGACTTTGTAACATTCTGGCAGCATTACAAAGCCACACAATTGCCGGAACAGAGAAAATTATTTTAGACAAATCCATCAAAGACTTGTTAACATTTTATTTTATTTGGTTGGCAAGCTACTTTAGAACTCTCACTAGGCAGGTAACTATAAAATACACCCACAGAAATGAAGACCTTTTGTTCACTCAATTTCAAATCTCTAGTGCCACTCTAGGTACAATCACTTCCTCAAATGCTAAGATATATGGTTAGTCTATAAACTTATCAATACATACTTTTTCACAAAGAATGTCTGTAATTAATCCAAGTGTTTCCAGAAGGAGCAAAGAAGCCAGAAAACTTATGATGGTATCTCTCTCTCACACAAAACCAGGAAAAAGACTCACGCACTGTGTAGACAATGCTAATTGAAATATAAATCGCAAGAGCTGAAAAATTTTGTATGCACTTACTCTTGTGAAATTAAATGTACCAGGTCAGACCAAGGCCCAGACAACCAACTTCAAGAAAGCTGTAACCTGATGTTATTTCCAGAGCATTTTACGTAGGCAATGCACTGAAATAGTCACACACTAAAACATGGTTTCCCTAACATTAAACCCCCGCCCTTTTTTTAGCTTCCACTTTAAAAACCACTGAGCTTAAATTAAGCGTTTTGCCAAACGTTTACATATGTGCTCAAACACAAGACATCACCCATCAATCCGTAGGCTTCCAGTATATATCGCGCCCACTCTGCCTTGGAAAGTAACAATCCAAGGTCTCATTCCTACAACAGCATCCATACGAGCAGACCCCTGTGCCCACGCCATTCCCCACGCCTCGGCGGAGGCTACCCGGACGGGGAACGGGCTCGCGGAGGCAACTGACTGCAGGGGTCGGGGGGAGCTCGGTTCCAGGGCGGACCAGGTCACTGCGGAGGGGCGGGGAAGGGGCGCTACACGGCTCAAGAGCTCTCGGTTCGGAGGGGACTGGGATTCTGGGGACCCCTCCACAGCTCACCGCTGAGGCGCACCGCGGTTCTGGCCAGAGGCAACATGCTGGCGTCTCGGACGGATAATTTCTGCCCTTCTCCTTCTGCGCCTTATACCCTTGCGAGCAGTGAAAAACAAAATGGTGGCCAGCCAGGAAGTCCGAACGCTGCGCATGCGCCCCGTTTTGTATTCCATCCTCTTCCTGAGCGCGGCCCCACGGCATTCTAGGAAATGTAGTTTCTGCGGTTGCGTGGAGGGGCTCTTACAACCATGTGGGAAGAAGCCGCTGTACCCAGGAAGCTGCGGGCCCGGGACTCCGACGGGCTCCCCCACACTCCCTACGTTAGTGATGGCTTTTGTTATGGGAATTAATCAGGCAGGAGAAGAATGCTAGTGGCGCTGACTCTGCAGTGAAGAACAAGGATCTCCCAGCTGCCCTTTTTAACAGCAGTGTCAGGATGGCCGAGTGGTCTAAGGCGCCAGACTCAAGGCTTACAGTGCCTTCCTCTGTCGAGGGTTGGGTGTTCTGGTCTCCGTATGGAGGCGTGGGTTCGAATCCCACTTCTGACACATTTTTTTTTCTTCTCGGTATTTGTGCGAGTAAAACACCGAGTTTAACTGTAATAAGCACCCGAGGAAGCGTTTTACTACGCGGCAGGGTAAGGATCACCTCACGCAGACAGGAATTTACATAATATTAATATACATTGTGGCGCCCATTAAATAGGGACTTACATTATAAAAATGACTAAATAAAGACAGGGATTTACACTATATATTCAGAGAAAGCCTTTACTGATTCATAGGCATGATCTAACTTGGTCATTGATGTACCGATCTTAATAATGTAAAATCCCTGTGGCTCTGATTTTACAAATACATGTGCATATGAGTAAAATTAAGCATGTAGTTTATATGATTGAAAGATCACAGTTTATATCTATACAAACAGGTGCATATTTAATTACTTAAATCACGTAAACTCTTGCATATGTAATGGATACCGAATTAAAATCTCTCAGTAAGAATATGTCGAGAAAGATAGAATTTAAATCCATACCTATGTCATACATCGAAAGATATAGGTATGGAAGTACATTCCATCTCTTTCTTGATAGTGATATAGATGCATGCATGATAGTGCCTTGTCTTTATACAAAGAACGTTCATTCCTGTATGTATAGCGGAAATCTCTATTCGTATATAACTATGTATGTTATCGATATTGATTTATTATAGCTATACTGATATATTCCAGACAGTTTTTATGATCCATGAAGAGACAAACCGCGAAACTGCTCTGCTTAGGTCAACGAGGTTCCACTTGCATGCAAGGGTCTTCTTAGGTAGACCCAGTTACAGCACGAGGGTCCAAATCTGCACAAAGTATGACAGGATACAAGAAATAAAACTTGACGGATCAAGATGATACTTTAAAATAAATACCAAGAATAGGAATATAGGATTGTGTAGCTGCATGAGAGGGGTATTTGAGGATCTACTATAAAGATTATTTTCCTAATTATAATACTCCCGGCATGCACTATTTCTTCAGAGGCATCCAGCCATCCTGTTGGTTGCTCCTGCTATCCTATGTCTAACCGAATATAAATGTATAATAAAATGCATAAATGTATAATAAAAGTGTCTTCTGTGTATTAACAGACCCATCTGCCTTCAGAGGGTCGGCGCCTTCAGATCTCATGGACTTTTCATAGACGCTGAAGAACATGGTTAGTAGTTAATATAGTAACAATTTCAGGGGCAAACAGTTCAAAGTTGCACCATAAACCGTGGAGCAATGAAGCTTGGAAATGGAGAACCAGAGACGTAATGGACAGTGCTCAGAAAAATGGAAGCCAAGGAAAGCAATCTGGAAAACGGACTTTTAGCTGAAGAGATAAGTACTGGTTAGTCATCAGTAACGCTGAAAATGCTTCACGAGGATAGCACATTAAGATTCACATTTACAATGTGACAGGACAGGAAAAGACTGTCAGTGCAATGCGAGCTGCGGATGAGACTCCCAGACAAATAATAGCTGAAACAGCACCTAGAATAATGTGCAAGCCAGACTGGACACCTCGGTACCACGAGGCACCCCCCCTGCATTGCTGATGCTGCCCTGTGCCCTGGCTGTTATGCTGTCCTTACTCCAACTATTTAACTGCAGTGACGCTGCTGCCTCAGCTCATCGCACTCCAACACCCAGGCCGGTTTAGCTCCGCCCTGGATCCTGCGGTCCCTATCACAGCCCATCCGACCACTAGTTCCGCTCCTTGGCCCTCCGAACCGACTCCTCCCAATTCATCAAACAACCAATCGCACTACAACAGCTTGCCTCGTTACGATTGGCTGACGGATGAGGACGTTGGACCAATACAAAATGAGCTGGAGCCAAGGACGTGAATGGAAAGTCGTCTGTCCGCCTTGTTCGGCCAATAGAGTAGTGCTTGAGTAAGCGGCAGGGCCAATCAGCGGCGGGTGCCGGTGGAAGGAGCGGACATGGCGGCGTTGCGGGTGCTGATGTTGGGGGTCTTGGTGGTGCTGATGGTCTGCGAGGGACCCTGGACTGCAGGGCAGAAGCGGAAGGAGGTGAGGGCCCCCCGCCACCAGCTGGGCTGAGGGAGAAACCGGCCTGGGATTCCCAGAGCTATAAGGGCCATAGTCTGCCTGGCTACCTTCCGCTGGGGGAGCCCGGCCATATCCTGGGCTGCCCAGCCTTGAGGAGCCGGACCCCAGCCTTGAGGAGCCGTCCGCCCGGAGCCGGGCCCCCGCCTGTGGGGAGCCGGGCCCCCGCCTGTGGGGAGCAGCGTGGGGAGCCGGGTCGTGCCTGAGACGAGGTCATCTGTGGTCATCGGTAGGGAAGAATTGTGGACCTTACTTAGTTGCTGTCACTAAGATGTGTCCAAGCTTACATACAGATAAGTGTTTTTATATGTGAAAATGATTGCACTACTTGTGTATGGGTTTGTCTGGATTAGCTAAAGAGAATGGAGCCTATTAACAGTATCACCAGTAGAGAAATCATTGGAACTGAGCAGTTATTTTTTGAACAAGGTAATGTTCTTAAGTTACACGAAGTGATCCAAAACTAATCTATAATTTAATTTAAATCAGTAGGCTTGTTTAGTATTACTGGACAATATTAGGATCTGTTTTCTGGGTACATTAATGCCTGATCATTGGCTTTTGACGTGTTTTTTTTTTTTTTGGAAGTACTGAACGCTCAGAACTCCCATTGAACATTGTTATAATAAAAAACTGTGGACTCTCTCAACCTGACCACATAATGTGTGTCTTGCTTTCTTTTGGATTTCAGTCATCTTGTTGAAATATCACCATGAGACTGTTAACGGTTCAGAGGATCAAAAGACAAGACTCTTTTTAATGTCAGTCCAGTTTTTAAAATAAACATTTTTGACTTTATTTTTTAGATGGTTTTATCTGAAAAAGTTAGCCAGCTGATGGAATGGGCCAGCAAAAGAGCTGTTATCCGAATGAATGGAGACAAGTTTCGTCGCCTTGTAAAGGCACCACCAAGAAATTACTCAGTGGTTGTGATGTTCACTGCTCTTCAGCCTCACAGACAGTGTGCCGTGTGCAAGTATGGACTTAATTAAATTCTAAAGAACTTAAATTTAATGGTTACTGTAAAAGGTGCCATATGTTCTGAGTGGGTAAAAGCTGTACCGACCTACTTTGCAGTACCTTTTTCTTGAATTTGAGCAGTTTCATTCAGAGTGGGAGAGAGCTACTAAGACACAATAAACTGTAATAGTATTTTTCTAATGCAATCTCTTATATATGCACAGATTATCTAAAGTCATATTAACTGTGTTGATCTCTGTGCTGTAATAATTGCAGCTGTGCAGAATGAAAAAGGGAAGTTTTTGGAGGAGTTAACATTAATCTTTTTGAGTGAATGGCTAAACACTTTTTTTAGAGTTTGCTGTTGAGCCTTGCAGTTTGAGATTTTGCTCATATCTGGAGTATTTATTTACATTTATACTGTATCAGATCCTAGGTTCTGTTTCTGCCACTTTGTATTGCTCCAGAGATATAAAGGGACTCTGAGGATGGCTTTAATGGCTAGTCGGGGAAATCTCTGGGTCACTTCCATGTACAGAAGCATGTTGGGGGAAGAGGGCATACCTTGAATTCTGCTGCATTCTGATGATCTTCAGCTGTCACAGCAGCATCTTGAAGCACAGGCAGCTGGGCACAATGAAAAACAGCCTTGAGCATCAGTTTTTCATATGCCCTGCTTCCTGATGGTGGGCCTAGTGCAGCTTGACCAGTCCAGAAGATCTGCCCCACACCTTAAAAACAAAAAACTCTGTGTGCCCAAGGCTGAAAACAGAGGAATGAGCAATGAAGCATGACACATCTTGTTAGTTTTAAAATCTTAACTGGAAAGGAGTTTTGGTGTGGTTGAGAGATGTTACTTCCAGTGAGATGTTAGAGCTGGAAGGATGTTCACAGGTCCCTCTGTTTTTGACATAGCCTCATGAGTATAGCATCTGGTTTTATATGTTGGGTTTTTTTCTTCAGGCAAGCTGATGAAGAATACCAGATTCTGGCAAACTCCTGGCGATACTCCAGTGCATTTACCAATAAGGTTTTTTTTGCCATGGTGGATTTTGATGAAGGCTCGGATGTATTTCAGATGGTAATATATCTTTCATTTTTTAAAGTGATTTTTATTTGGGGAGAACTGGGGGGTAGCGATAAAGAAATATACAATACAAAAGATATGGTACAGTATTACCATAATGCGGGATGCTGGCCAATCTGTAACGAAACTGCTGCAAAATAGAAATTGCACAGATTTTTTTTAAAACCACAACAACCCTCCAATCCATGAGAAATATGCAAGATTTGTTTGCTAATGTGACAGTAGCACTAATAGGCCAAACTACTAATAATACGCAGGTAACAGTGCTGAATAGGTATGAGTGATAGACTGGATGACCTGATTAGGTCTTTTATGTCTAACTCTTGTAATGCCATTCAGTGTAATAATGGAATTACAGTGACTTGTAAAATACTGGAACTAATTTAAATGTTTATGGCAGTTTGCAAAAGACTTCTAACTCTAAACAGTGATGGGAGAGGGAAGAACCTTTAATTTGTTATAAAGGTATTTTTAAGAAACTCTGTGTCCCATTTAAAGGAGCA